GCTGGAAGGCGGTGAGGATGGGGTCGGTGGAGGAGAGGGCGATGAGGGAGGGCGAGGCCAGGGCCCGGTAGGCGTTGATCCTGGAGCGGGAGTGCCGCAGGGAGTCCTCCGAGGACGACTTGATGCACTCCGGACACCCGCACCTGCGGCCACACCACCACCATCATTGATCATACATACAAGAACCTAAGATTAGAGGCCACTGCAATTGAGCTACTGGGCTATGCGAAGCAGCTCCTATTGGTCTATGTGAGGCAGCTCCTATTGGTCTATGCAAGGCAGCTCCTATTGGTCTATGAAAAGCAGCTCCTATTGGTCTATGCGAGGCAGCTCCTATTGGTCTATGTGAGGCAGCTCCTATTGGTCTATGCAAGGCAGCTCCTATTGGTCTATGAAAAGCAGCTCCTATTGGTCTATGCGAGGCAGCTCCTATTGGTCTATGCGAGGCAGCTCCTATTGGTCTTTGTGAGGCAGCTCCTATTGGGCTTTGTGAGGCAGCTCCTATTTTACAGCCAAACTCACATATACAGAGAATAAGATACATTTATATAACTGAAAGTGACCACGCTTCGGTCTGTCCTGGACCCTTATCCAGCTTCGACGTGATAATGGTCCAGGACCGAGCGAAATGTTGTCACATTCTAAATCTAAACATAACTAATGTACAAACAGAAATCACAATAGCTTGATATATCAAATTTTAGCGTGATTTCTTCATGTACTGAAGTAAGGGCGAAGAGGTAGAATATCTGGTTGACAGAACCCGGGTTAAATGGGGGAATTGTGTAAAAAAACCCCGGTTTGTGCTTCGGAGAGGCTGCGGGATCCGTGGGAGGGCAGTAGCACTCCAGGTTGCAATTCTTTTTACCATGTTGTGACACAGTCGACTAAGGCGCGTCTGGGATCATCCCGGACGTTGATTCGAACCCTCATCTTAGCCTTTATGGATTTGTTCATAACTAATGTTTAGATAATGTTGAGGGTGGCTGATTGTCAGCTCAGAGATTAAATTGATATTAGATATGGCCTTTAGTCTGATGTTAGATGATATAAGTAACTGGTAGACAGTGGTGTTACTCCGGAGCTAACAGTTCCTGCGACGACGCTGGAACCAATCGTATTGGCGTTTGTTTTTCCATTGGAGATTTTCGGCGCCATGGAGAGGGGGAGGGGACCTGCTGCTTGGGTAACAGCTTCTCCTCCATATCAACCTACGCTGGCTTTGCACCCTGGTGAGGCCACTCCAGACCGACAACCAGAGCGCAACTCCATAGTCTCCTGAGACTGATGGATGCCTACTATACTGTGGTGTTAGATGCTATATTTAACTGATAGACAATGGTGTTAGATGATATGTAACTGATAGACAGTGATGTTAGATGCTATATGTGACTGATAAACAGTGAAGTTAGATGCTATATGTAACTGATAAAGAGTGATGGTAGATGCTATATGTAACTGATAGACAGTGATGCTGGATGCCATACATGACCGATAGACAGATTAAGAGCAGAACGATCCTACCTTTTATAATTAACCATTATGACATAATCACGAAAGCATCAGGAGAAAACAAAACTGCAAATGCATGAACGAACTATGCGAAGATATTCGATAAATGTGAGCATGGAATTATCAACTGAAATGAGGTTCACTGGTACAAGAGGCAAAGTGGGAGATGGATATACAAAAAAAAGAAACATAGATCACAAAGCACCCCAGTAACCTAAACAAAGACCAAACACAGTGTAAAGCTGTGCATCCCAAGACACGGTCTTTGCCCCATCTCTACTGTCAAGACTATATTGTTCCAAACACTCAGGTCTGATAAAAAAAGAAATTACTGACGCCCAACGACCTGAAAGCACCAGTATAAAAAGCTATGATTTGTTCAGATCTGAACGCTATGTTTATGGGCAGCACAAAACGTGGACCAGACTGTGCGACACAGTGGTTACCAGGATCAGGTTGGGTTACCGTTACCTGTGGCAGGTGGCTACAGGTGACGGATCTCCCAATCCTGAGCACTCCAGGTGCAAACTCTGTGAGCAGGAACTGCGGCATGATCTCCCACACTACATCACCGAATGCCCAGTTGTCAGACCATTCAGACTCACTGGCAGGAGGTGCCTGGAGCTTTGCAATTATTTTATTCACTCTCGTGTTCTTGAGGATATCTTCATATTGCACCCAAAATTTGCCAGTGCAGGCATATAGTCTAGGGCAACTGCACAAATGCACATGTACCTAAATGTGTTAGTAGAAAAACCCAGTCTTCATGATCCTCCTACCGCAGAGACAAAAATACATCTCACAGCTTTGTGGCATCTTTGCATGCGATATCAAAATAAAAATAAAACTGATATCAGTAGAAGACATTGAACAACTACAAACATATATCACTAAAGTCTTCACTGGGCAACAGACAACAGCACTATATTTAACAGTTATAAATTGCAGTTACTTAGATATAGAAAAAAACGAAGAACTTTCACCGGATAGAGAAGAGAAGACGAGATCAGATCTTCAGAACGGAAACGACGTGTAAAGATCAAGGAATAATGATGTTGGACGACCCAACGTTTGGTGAGTATAACAGAACAAACGAGGGTAGATTATCAAACACTTCAAATCCAGGATTTAAAACCTGTGTTCCTACTATTCAATGTATTTGCGCTTTCCCGCCCTGAGTACTGCTCGATACTCAGTTGCACTATGGAGACTGAAGAGATTTTTTAATTAGAAGAAATACAGAGAACACACACACACACGGCACGAATACACACAGTAAAGCACTTCAAATAATGAAGCAGTCTTAAAGCTTCTTACCGATCAAGTTTCTCCAGGTAAACCTGACCGGGTTTGGAGTGTTTTGACTCTAGGAAGCTGACAGGGTAAGGTATGGGAGTCCTCCTCACCTGATGTCGTGAGGCATGGGCAGCGTGGCGCCGCGGTCCAGAAGGATCTTCAGAATCTCGTAGTTGTCCCTGTGGGCGGCCAGGATCAGGGGCGTGATCTCTGGCGTGAAGGCTGACGTGTTGCGGTCAGCCTTCTCCCAAGACTGAAAGACGGGGCAGGATAGTAAGTAAGTAATTATCAACAGAAGGCACCAAACCGGGAAGGCTATGTAGCACCATAGGGCAGGATAGTAGCAGGTGAGAAGTTACAGGAAGCGGTCTTTACTAATACAGTGGAGTCGGTAAATAACTATGATAATTATATATTACAGCACTAACTGCCCTTATTAACATATAGTGCGGACTATAGATACATCATTTTTACACATAGCATGACGGTAATATATGAAGACTCACGTATAATTCTCCATCCTTGTGGATGACCTCCTCGTGTTCCAGCAAGACCTCCACGGCCTCGACAAACTCAGCGTCGATGGCGTGGAGAAGAGCGTCCCTGGTCTCCACCCCCATCACCACCAGCAGCTCCACCATCTCCAGGTTCTCGTTGGCGATGGACATGTGGAGGGCGCCTCGCCCCAGCGGGTCCACACAGTTCATGTTCATGTAAGCTGGGTAACGGTGAGCCTTCTGCAGCATCCTGAGGGTCACAGAGCACCAGTTGGGACCAACGCTCATGAAGGCCATGCCTCGGGAAAGACCCACCAAGGTGACAAGTTTCGGGGAATTCAAGGATGTTCATGAGAAAGTCAATATCGTGTTGAGCGGCCGGGATGATAAGTGAGATTGAGGAAGCATGAGGGTACTGAAGGAGTTATACAGTGAAGGATTGAAAGGCAAGAACAATACCTTCTGGAACTCCAAGTTATGCCAAAGAAGAAAATATGACAGATGCAAATGGAGAGGAAAAATAACTAAATAAGAGGGATAACAAAGGAAGAAGCGAGGTAAGCGGTGAAGACTAGCTGAGGATGGCGGCCTGACGCAGCCTCACTTCACCTCAGCCATGTTCTCATCGTCAGCAAATATTCCGCCAGGCACCAGCACTTAAACTGTACCATCATATATCATGACACCCACCACTTCATATATAAACAAAACGTTGCATTACATAAAATATCAATTATTGATTCAAATCGACATTGACGAGATGAGGGTTGTTGACCAAACCACACACTAGAAGGTGAAGGCACGACGACGTTTCGGTCCGTCCTGGACCATTCTCAAGTCGATTGTCGACTTTAGAATGTTGATTGTCGACTTCACCTTTTAGTGTGTGTGGTCTGGTCAACATACTTTAGCCACGTTATTGTGACCCATCGCCTGCAGATGAGGGTTGGACTTACTTCCTGGTTGTGTTACAGTCACCTCTCTCCACAGCTAAGAGAAACTTCTTCTCCTCCAGGGTGAGAGGCTTGGGTAGGTCAGGCATGAGGGCCAAGCCGGTGCTACTGCCCTGTGGAGAAGCAACATCTCTTCAACATCACAACTTCATCCACAGGTTGATATTGTTCATCATCGGAATTAAGGAAACTTCAGAAGGAATACTTGACCCATTCCAGGCAACTCTTATTTATATCCACCCAAACTCATTCATATAAGATCTAAATTATTAGTTACAATGCGTTTATTAATTAACTATAGTTCACTGAACATTAGGAAATTCTTAATATCATGAAACCCGTTATGTAAACTATCTATGACAGAGTTACGTGTTGAGTAACACTTTCCAGACAAAGGTTTCAATAATTGTTTGTAAGAATTGTAATCTACATAAGCAGTCAGAGAGGATTACCAGGGGGGGGGGACGATTGTGAGGAATAATCCCATCACAGATGGGAGATTAAGTGAATTATTAGCAACATTGTAGCGATTATCTAATTAACACATATGTGTGTGAACACTTTGCCTGATTAAACGGAGTACAAATGATTTTGTTTGGTTAGACATAATAATTGTTCGAAATATTTCCAGTAAAAATAAAATCATATTTTTAAAAACAACTATTTTCCCCGGAATGTACATTAAATTCCATATTGCAAATTTTTCTTTTCGAAAATTGATTAAAATTCTGAGCCTTTTAATTATATTTCTGCCCTGATTTAAGATGACAAAGAATATTTTGAGAGCCACAAGGTGTGACTCTCAGGGGTGATAACGGACGTCCTTAACTAGCCACACTACTCGTCGAGTAGTGTGACCTGCATACCGAGGTCACACAGCTCGTCTAGGCTGAATCACCTCTCTAATATCCAGGAGCCAGATTCACGAAGCAGTTACGCATGCACTTACGAACCTGTACATCTTTTCTCAATCTTAGGCGGCTTTTTTTACAATTATTAAACAGTTAATGAGCTCCGAAGCACCAGGAGGCTGTTTATAACAATAACAACAATTGATTGGGAAAGTTTCATACTAGTAAACAGTTTAATAAATGTAACCAAAGGCGTCAATGATTACGAAAAGATGTACACGTTCGTAAGTACTTGCGTAACTGCTTCGTTAATCTGGCAGGTCCCAGACCTCGTCTAGGGTGCCTTACCTCCTCCATGTCTAAGTCACACTTTTCGTCCATGGAGACGCTTTTCTTGGGCGGCTTCTTGTCGTCGTCTTGAGCCATGATGGTGGTGGTGGGCGACGGCGTCTACCAGCAGTCTGAAGCACAACACAAGGATACTTAAACACGTCTCCTGCTAACACAACTTGGTCAGGTACGATAATTATCAGGAGAGAACTGAGCCAGTAAGACTATATCGCACTTGGAAGGAATATGAGGAGAAGGAGCTGGGATATGAGGGCAAGGAACTGGGATATGAGACAAGGAGCTGGGATATGAGGGCAAGGAGCTGGGATATGAGGGCAAGGAGCTCGGATATGAAGGCAAGGAGCTGGGATATGAGGACAAGGAGCTGGGATATGAGGACAAGGAGCTGGGATATGAGGACAAGGAGCTGGGATATGAGGATAAGGAGCTGGGATATGAGGGCAAGGAGCTGGGATATGAGGGCAAGGAGCTGGGATATGAGAGGAAGGAGCTGGGATATGAGGACAAGGAGCTGGGATATGAGGACAAGGCGCTGGAATACGAGGACAGTGGGCAGAGGAAAGAATGGTCCCCAACTATTTGGACTGTTGGGAATCGAACGCCGACCTGCAAGAAGCAAGGCCGTCGCTGTACCCACCAGTCGAAGAAAAGCTTCAGCAGGAGTAAATAAGAAGCCAAAGTAAATCGAGGGCAAATTCTTGGCAAGAATATGAGTAGTTTACATCAAATTAAATACAACTTAAGTACTAATATTTAACATTATGACTACATCAAAATAAATTTTGTCTACACATTTTTTTAACATTTTCCCATGTTAACCGAGGAATGAGTCAGGTGTAACTGCCAGAATTAGGCTGGGATATCTATATCTATGGCAGGTGGCTGCAGGTAATGAATCCCCCCAATGGTGAACATTCCAATTGTAAACTATGTGAAGAAGAGCTGGGACATACTCTCCAACACTATACTTGTGACTGCCCTGTTATCAGTGACTTCAGTCCAAATGTTATGAGGGACTTTGGGCTCTGTAATTACTTCATACACTCACGAATATTGGAAGATATTCTTGTGCTCTACCCAGAGTTTGCTAGTGTAGGCTATTAGCGTAGACTCACATCTAATGTTTTCTATTGATTCTATCTATGACTAACCATCTTGTGAGATGGTAACATTAGATTGTAATCTTTCGTATAGAATGGGAGGGGGGGGGGGAGTAGCATAGTGCTGGTGTCCCTAAGTTTGTTAATAATAATAGAAACCAAAGCCGTACTAGGCAGGTGGAGAGAATGTGAGAGACGCGAGAGGCGAAGGCAAGCTATTCTGATTACACCGTAGAGGGGGGGGGGGGGTAATGTATGATGAGGGGGAGGGGGGTAGGATGTGTGCCAGTTGACTATACAACACATGTCAACAATCCTGTTAGTGGAAGCCCCGACCAGACAGCCAGACTTCTCCTGACCCTCTCACAGGTGAACCTAAACCTCTTCCACTTCCCCTGAAGTGGAAGAGGTTTAGGTTCCCTCTCCCTCCTTCACCTGACTCACCTCATCCCTCTCACCTAACTTATTATTATTAACATCTTTAATGACAAAATTAATTACAATTTTTGGCCTAATCTGAGGATCTCAATTAAGTCTTATTAAAGCGAGGATAATGCTGGTATTCACTGTCACGCAGGACAGAGGGTCTTACACAAGACAATAGGTCTAAACTGTAGGCTGAAGCACATGTATATCATGGTTAAAATCAGTGTTTTAATGTATGAATATGTGAAAATAACTTTCTATTGTGCACTGCCCCACAAGGGCAGGGATGGGTTCATAAGTGATGCAGCTTACAAGTAATATAAATAAAAGTGTTCTTCATTCTTTAAAATGGACAAGCAAATTTTGGATAAATTGTTAGGATGTCGTCCGGAACACCTGAGCCAATGAAATAGTTACACAGTTGGTGGTACAAGAGGCCAGGAGGTCTAGAGTCTTTTACGGTTTCACATTCAACAATATAGTGTTCTAGTGAATGCATTAAAGGTTTATCACAGAGTTTACAATTTGAGTATTCTGGTAGTGGCTCAGCCTCACTAACCTGCCAGATGTGCCTATAGCCAGGGCGAATTCTCGCAATGATTATATCACATTGTCTGGTCCGGTTACTGTGCTGACCATACAAATACCTATTATTACAAAAGTTTTGATAACTTTTAATAGTGCAGCTTTCAGGTCTCTGGGCATTTCTTAGTTCTTCTAAATCTGAATTAATTTCTTTAATTTGGATGTCTCTAATAATTGCATTAGATAGTCCAAAGTGTATTCTTTCCTGCAAGCTTCATTGACCAATCGATCTACAAAGTCATGTTTTCTAACTCTAACATGGGATGGGATTCACACAAATTTTATACAATAGTTATTATCATTACAAAAATTACATTCCATTTAATACTACAAGCTACTTCAGACATACATTGTGATGGGTTATTTAAAGACTACAGAGCATTTTTAGTCACAGAATATCACTCCACCACCATTGAGCTTAAGGTACTCAGTGGCTAGATAAATACCCAATAGCTGAGTCTGTGTCGTGCTTGCCCAGTTTTTCAATCTGTGTGTACTAGACATGATCATGTCATTCCCTTTATATACTGCACATGCACAACCTGTTCTACCAGTGCCTAACTGCACGAAGACATCGGCAAAGGCATAGGATTCAGTTGATTTGAGATTTTGAAGATGACTGTCAATCTAACCGACCTTCTCCCCCCCCCCCCCCAAATTACCAACCCTCTCTCCCTCGCCAGACTCCGCGCCTTAATCAACCCCAGCAAGTTCAACTTACAAGTACAACATTTCCCGCAAGTACAACTAGTGGGGTTGAGCTTAGGCTCTTTGGTCCCGCCTCTCAACCGTCAGTCAACTTGTACTCACCTAGTTGTGCTTGCGGGGGTTGAGCTCTGACTCTTTCAGCCCTCCTCCCAACTGTCAATCAATCAACTGATACTTTTTTCACCCCCTCCCCCCAGGAAGCAGCCCATAGCCGCAGTCTCACTCCCAGGTATTTATTTACTGCCAGGTGAACAGATGCATCAGGGTGAAAGAAGCTCTGCCCATTTGTTTGTTTCCGCCATCGCCGGGGATCGATCCCCGGACCCTAGGATTACGAATCCCGAGCGCTGTCAACTGAGACGTCAGCCCCCCCCCCCCTTTCAGGAAGACGACATTCAGACTTGTAAATGTTCCTGAGTTTATTTAACTTGATCGTATCAACATTTGATACTGTGTATAGAGTCCGCCTCCACCACATCACTGCCTACTGCATTCCATTTCTTAACTTCAAGACTGAAAAAAACTCTTTCTAATGTCTTTGTGGTTCATTCGGGTACTAAGTCTCCACCTGTATTCCCTTGTACGAGTACCACCCGTACTAAATAGTCTGTTTTTATCTACCTTGTCAGTTCCTAGAGAATTTTGTTGGTGTTAATCATGTCTCCCCTAACTCTTTGTCTTACAGTGATGTGAGGTTTAATTCCCGTAGCATTTCCTTACAGCTTATTCCTCTCAGATTAGGGACTAGTCTAGCGGTATAACTTTGGACCTTCTCAAAACTTCGTTTTGTGCTTCATTAGATTTTTTTTTTATTGTTGCCGCCGAAGGCGGCTAGTTTATTGTGCACCCCATACTCATCCTGTGAGCGGTAGCGCAAAAGCATTACAGAGGGCACAAAAGGTCTTTATCAGACCTCATCTTAGATTATTACATAAACAATTTCTTCAATCCTTCACACCTTATAGATACAATGTCAGCTAGTTACAGAGAAAGTGCTATTACAAGAGCTACATATTTACAGTAAGTCATCATACATTAATGGTAGGTCTTATCGTTAATACATAATAGTTTGGCCAATGGGGATATTACAGAGATTGTGGATTGTTGTAAAATTGAGCCTTTTAGAGATAAATCTAAGCTCACTCTGTATGATATGGCAACCTATCTTATTACCATGGATAAATTACCTGAAATCCTTGCACTGTATCCGCATTTCGCTTCCAGTAGATGAACGACATATGAGATTCAGAAACAAGTAGTGTATTGTGAGGACTAATAATAAACAGAAGCTCCCCTATGACTCTGCTTCATTAGATATGAGCGTCAACCTGGAGCCGCGTTCTCCAAAACTGGTCTGACATATGTGGTATATAAGGTTATGAATGATTCCCTACACAATTTTCTAAAGGCAGTTCTGATGTTAGCCAGCCTCTCATATGCCGATGATGTCCTTTTGATGTAGGCTTCAGCTGACAGATTCTGTGTAATATCAATCCCTAGATCCTTCTCTGTTCGTTATATGAATGATTTCATCTCCCATTTGGTACTTGTCCGGCCTCTTGTTCCCTCCACCTAATTTAATTACTTTACACTTAAATGAATTAAACTCGTGTTACCATTTACTGGACCATTCCTTCACTTTGTCCAGGTTATCTTATAGTCTTGTACTATCTTCCTTTAACTTAATATTTCTCATAATTTTTGCATCATCAGCACACATCGAAAGGAACGAGTCTATACCTTTTGGAAGATAATTTACGTGTACCAGAAAGAGAATAGGTCCCAGTATTAAACCCTGTGACTCCGCTGGTGACATCTTGCCATTCTGAAGTTCCCCCTCACAGTAATTCCCCGTTTTCTGTTGTTTATGTACTCCCTTATCCAGTGGAGCACCTTACCTGTTATTTCTGCTTGCTTCTCCAGCTTATGCACCAGCCTCTTATTGGGTACTATCAAAGGCTTTCTGACAGTGTTATGGGTGAACATGGTGCTGAATGCAACATTGTGTGTGAGCACAGTACCGAGTACAATGCATATATAACATAATTTAAAGTTTGGTGCAATATTTACAGACTTAAAGTAAATTCAGACGTACCACTCATCTCTCCAAGTTATGACTGTGCTCGTGTTTTGTTAACCAGTTTCTAGGAAGAGATTGCGTATAAAGTCCTTGACCGGGGCTAGATACCATGTAGACGAGGGCGCGAGAAGGGATAAAGGTGGTGGTATAGCTGAGAGACGAGAGGGAGGCACGCGAGGAGGGAGAGTGGCAACAGTGCTTGCTCTAGAGATATGAATATTGCTTACTGGGGTGGACCCAAGAATTAGGAATATAGTTACAACACTGCGTGTGTATTTACTATTTGTGTTTGCTGAATCGAGCTATTAGCTCTTGGATCCCGCCTTTCTAACCAATCTATTTTTCCTCTATTATATCTACTACATATATTTCTTTCTGATACACACATACATTCCCAGGAAGCAGCCCGTAGCTGCTGTCTAATTCCGAGATACCTATTTCCTGCTAGGTGAACAGATGCATCAGGGTGAAAGAAACTCCGCCCGTTTGTTTCCGCCTTCGCCGGGAATCGAACTCAGGCTAGGACCCCCAAGCACTGTTCACTCAGCCGCGAGGCGCCTTGTAATTACCTAAATGTAATTACCTAAGTGTAGTTACAGGATGAGAGCTACGCTCGTGGTGTCCCGTCTTCCCAGTACTCTTTGTCTATAACGTTTTAAAAGTACTGAAGGTTTTGGTCTCCACCACCTTCTCACTTAACTTTGTGTGTGTGTGTGTGTGTGTGTGTGTGTGTGTGTGTGTGTGTGTGTGTGTGTGTGTGTGTGTGTGTGTCAAACTCGTTATGTTACAGTGTGCGTGTGTGTACAACTGTGTATAACATTATGTGTGAGTAACACCGTGTATGTGTATATATCATAGGGTTTCAACTCCTCTCTCAGCTTTATTTGTCAAATGTGGAGATCTTTGTGAATTGGGTCCAGATCTTCAACCTCATCACATGTGGTCTCATGTCTACCTCACTGCTTACAAGGAGGGTTTAATATCTGCCTCAATGTTCACCTGAGGTAAAAGTTCTTCCAGGAAGCATCTCACCAGACCAGCAGGTGTTCCAGGAAGCATCTCACCAGACCAGCAGGTGTTCCAGGAAGCATCTCACCAGACCAGCAGGTGTTCCAGGAAGCATCTCACCAGACCAGCAGGTGTTCCAGGAAGCATCTCACCAGACCAGCAGGTGTTCCAGGAAGCATCTCACCGGACCAGCAGGTGTTCCAGGAAGCATCTCACCAGCCTAGCAGGTGTTCCAGGAAGCATCTCACCAGACCAGCAGGTGTTCCAGGAAGCATCTCACCAGACCAGCAGGTGTTCCAAGAAGCATCTCACCAGACCAGCAGAAGTTCCAGGTAGCATCTCACCAGACCAGCAGGTGTTCCAAGAAGCATCTCACCAGACCAGCAGAAGTTCCAGGAAGCATCTCACCAGACCAGCAGGTGTTCCAGGAAGCATCTCACCAGACCAGCAGGTGTTCCAGGAAGCATCTCACCAGACCAGCAGGTGTTCCAAGAAGCATCTCACCAGACCAGCAGAAGTTCCAGGAAGCATCTCACCAGACCAGCAGGTGTTCCAGGAAGCATCTCACCAGACCAGCAGGTGTTCCAGGAAGCATCTCACCAGCCTAGCAGGTGTTCCAGGAAGCATCTCACCAGACCAGCAGGTGTTCCAGGAAGCATCTCACCAGCCTAGCAGGTGTTCCAGGAAGCATCTCACCAGACCAGCAGGTGTTCCAGGAAGTATCTCACCAGACCAGCAGATGTTCCAGGAAGTATCTTACCGGACCAGCAGGTGTTCCAGGAAGTATCTCACCAGACCAGCAGATGTTCCAGGAAGTATCTCACTAAGTCAGCAACAGTTCTTGTCGTCATAATCTAGATTCTAGACTGTGTGGCATCCTGACAAGACAGACAAACATTCCAGCAGCATGGATATTATGTTCCCGTGGCTCATCAGATAAGTTGGACTTCAAATAACAAGAGCACCGAGTATTCCAGGAAGCAATTCTTCAGACCAAAATGGCTTTCAGTCAATTTTCTCTTCAGATCGACACATTTTTCAGTAAATCGTTCATTATATAGTGTTCCAAGATCAAACGTACCAAGTGTTCCAGCAATATGGACGTCAGGAGGTTCAAAAGGCACTCATGGAACTAATATTCTAGCAGCAATATTGCCAGTAGTTCCAGAGGTGATCAAGCAGACCTAGATGTTTAAGTCAGTGATTCACGTTACCAGCAACGTGTCAGTAGTAAAGGCATGTCTTACGGCGACTCACCAGTAACTAAAGCAGATACCAGCAGCGGCCCAGACGCCGTTCCATATCCATAAACCAACAAGAGAACTTCTGGGATCTGGAACTAACGCGGGTGCATAACCAGTTGAGCGGAGTGGAGCCACGGGGTGCTGGGGGAGACACACTAGCACCACCAGGGGCCCTCGCATGTTATATACCGTCTCGCTGGGGCTTCCCTCATCTCCTTAGCCCACAACACCTGGAAGTAGGAGGCGAGGACGCTGCACCAACAAGGCCTCCGACACCGCCATAGTGGGAGGTCTTGCACTTGTTTTCAGGAGGTGAGGAGCGGAAATGTTGGAGGCAAAATGGCGGAAGGGACGAGACTGAGGGGCCGAGACGTGGGGTCACGGTGGGGGTCAATACAAAGGTCACTGAGAGCGGTCACAATAATGGGCAACACAAAGGTCACTGGGAGCGGTGACAATAATGGTTACCTTACCTTGAGGTGTTTTCGGGGCTTAGCTTCCCCGCGGCCCGGTCGTCAACCTGGCCACCACTCCTTGCTGGACTGGTCAACCAACCTGGACTGGACGCGGCTGCTTGCAGCCTGACGTATGAATCACAGCCTGGTTGATCAGGTATCCTTTGGAGGTGCTTATAAAGTTCTCTCTTGAACACTGTGAGGGGTCGGCGAGTTATGCACCTTATGTGTAGTGGAAGCGTGTTGAACAGTCTCGGGCCTCTGATGTCGAGAGTTCTCTCTCAGAGCACCCGTTGCACCTCTGCTTTTCAACGGGGGTATTCTGCACATCCTGCCATGCATTTTGGTCTTATGTGGTGTTATTTCTGTGTGCAGGTTTGGGACCAGCCCCTCTACTATTTTCCACGTATAAATTATTATGTATCTCTCCCGCCTGCGCTCAGGAGAATACAGATTTAGGCTCTTTAGTCGGTCCCAGTAGTTTAGATGTTTTACTGAGTGGATTCTAACGGTAAAGGATCTCTGCACGCTCTCCAGGTCAGCAATTTCTCCAGCTTTGAAAGGGGCTGTCATTGTGCAGCAGTACTCCACTCTAGAGAGCACTAGCGTCTTGAAAAGTATCATCATCGGTATAGCATCTCTAGTGTGCAAGGTTCTTGTTATCCAACCTGTCAATTTTCTTGTAGTTGTGACGGCTACTTTATTGTGTTCTTTAAAGGTAAGGTCTTCCGACATGAGTACACCCAGATCCTTTACATTGCCTTTTCGTTCTGTTATAATTTGCCTGAGTTTTGTACGTGGTTTCTGTTTTTATGTTTTCCCTTTTTTCCGTAGCGCATGAGCTGGAACTTATCTTCGTTAAATACCATTTATTTTTCTGGTATTTACATGACATAGAAAGACTTGATTTACATCTGATTGGAGGTTTGCCGTGTCCTCTATGTTGTCTACTCTTATTAAAATCCTAGTGTCATCTGCAAAGGATGATACAGTACTATAGATTGTGTCCTTGTCTATGTCCGATATGAGGATGAGAAAAGTACTGGAGCAAGCACAGTACCCTGGAGGACTGAGCTCTTCACGGTTGATGGACCGGATTTGATTTTGTTGACTATTACACATTGGGTTCTGTTAGTCAGAAAATTGTAGATCCACCTGCCTATTTTTCCCTGTTCACCCTGTCCTTTTGAACGCATTTTGTGTGCAATAGCACCATGGTCACATTTGTCAAAGGCTTTTGCGAAATCTGTGTAAATTACATCAGCGTTTTGCTTGTCTTCCATGGCATCCAATGCCATGTCATAGTGGTCCAGCAACTGTGACAGGCAAGAGCGCTGTGTTCTGAAACCATGTTGTCCGGGGTTATGGAGATGCTGTGATTCCTGTAGATCACTAATGGATTTCCATGGAGATTGCTGTGATGGTCAACACAAAGGTCACTGGAAGGGTCAGGATGAAGGTCAACTATAAGGTCACTGAGGGTCACTACGAGGATCATCAGGAAGGTCATGACTAAGGTCACTGTGAGAATATATACATATATATATATATATATATATATATATATATATATATATATATATATATATATATATATATATATATATATATATATATATATATATATTCCTGTAGATCACTAATGGATTTCCATGGAGATTGCTGTGATGGTCAACACAAAGGTCACTGGAAGGGTCAGGATGAAGGTCAACTATAAGGTCACTGAGGGTCACTACGAGGATCATCAGGAAGGTCATGACTAAGGTCACTGTGAGAATATATATATATATATATATATATATATATATATATATATATATATATATATATATATATATATATATATATATATATATATATATATATATATATATATATATAATGATATGTTTGGTGGCATGTTGAGGCATACAGTGTGAGGGTCAGACAGCCTCGCTGGTGGTGGTGAAGCTGTCAGAGTTAAGCCCTTGTGATCCTCACTGATACTTCACCTGTGGGTGTCTTGTATGGCTTCAATTTAGGTGCATTGCATTCCTTCAATGCAATAAAACATGCATGCGCACATATATATATATATATATATATATATATATATATATATATATATATATATATATATATATATATATATATATATGTAAACTAAATGGGGTACTCGGCTGTGCCCTGGTCTTTCCCACTCAAATGTTTCCCTATCCCCTCCCTCTCTTTGTTTTCATCTTCCCAGTACTACCTTCAACACCATCTTCCATTCAAACATATAATATGCTAGAAAATCTTAGTGATGATGACTTTTTAATATTGAGTGAGCTTGGATTTGTCATTTCCTGTAAAGGAAGGGGGGTGACATGGGGCTTGACCACGCCCACACTATGTTCAGCCCGGAGCCCGGACCATTCACCCTGCAAAGTTTCATGAGGCTGGCGCCAAGCGTCTGGCCCGCCTACTTTGGAAAAACAGACAGGCATTCTCTCTTGTATGTGTAGATGCGTTTGAGTGGATGCGAGTTTCTACTCGCATCCACGCTTCATGTAAGTCATGAGGCGCCATCATGTAGGCGTGGATGAGGCGTGAGGCGTCATGAGGCGCCTCATGTAGGTCGATAGGCCTTCTTCGTACGCTACTGACACACACGCCCACACCTGGCGTGTGTCAGGTCTGCTTTCCTAGACCTGAACAAATATAATAATAAACATTCAGGCCCAAGAACAACAATATAATTAGTGAACCAAATAATAAACACATGTGCTAAAAAACTAACGCTCAAGACTCATCTTTCCGATAGGCTTCGTATTTTGAAAAATTGCAGGAGGAATTTGGGCAAAATATGATCAGTCGTCGTTTTCAGTAATTTGCATATTTTCGGTATAAAAAAATCGTAATTTAAAACGCTAAATTTTAGAGTTCAATCACCCTGAATTCTGCTCACAAATAACGCTCATGAGTCAAATCGTCATATTTGAACGGGCTATATTACTTTTTCATCAATTCTGAACGGGTTATGGGCCTGTTTCTTCACATTTAAACAGGTTATGTTACTTTTTCATCAAGTCTGGACGGTTCTTTGCTTTTTCGTCAAATCTGAATCTGTCGTTACTTTTCGTCATATATGAACGGGTTAGATTACTTTTTTCACCAAATATGAACAAGTTCTGTACATTTGTCGTCAAATTTGAACGGGTTATGTTACTTTTTCATCACGTCTGAATAGTTTCTTTGCCTTTTTTCGTATTATTTGAACGAGTTATGTTATTTTGTTTTGTAACTACAAAGGGGACTTGCACAAAATATGACCACTCGCCGTTTTCACTAATTTGCATATTTTCGGTATTAAAATCGTAATATAAAACTCCAACTATATACAATCACTTTGAATTCCGCTCAAAAATAACTTTCAAGAGTTATATTTCCGATAGGAATCGTATTTTGAAACCTGCAGCGGGATTTGCAGCGTTCAACATCTTCTTAAGCTTTGGAACACAGTTGTGGGGTCACCACGACTCTTATGTCACAGCTAACATACATGGCATCGTCACCATACTTACAACAATCACCATACATGCCAGTCACCATACATGGCACAGTCACTATTGTCACTGTCACCATACATGACATGGTCACCCTTCATGGCATGGTCACCATACATGCCATGGTCATCATACATGGCATGGTCACCATACTTGCCACAGCCACCATACATACTACCGCAACGATACATACCATAACCAACATATAAAGGCTCTATACAGCCCGCCAACAACAACAGCCTGCCTGGCACAGCAAAGCTTCTTACCGTAGTACGTTGGAGTGAGAGTGGTACAGGCGCTGGCCATCCGACATCACCCTCCACCAACACAACCCATCTCTTCTTCACGGTGCGTCGTGGTGCAGGTTGTCTCCTCCCGATGACTCCACGAGCAGTGATGTTGGGCGACGCACCAATGTATCATCTGGCAGTTGTCGTTGCCAGTTTATGTCAGAATGACGACGAAATCAGACGTTTGAGTGAGCCTCGATCCAACGAAGGCTGGGCGTCGTGATGGTGGTGCCAGCTGGTCGTTTACTGGCCTTTGTGTACCACGAGTTACGTTTTCTATGGATGATTGTCCCGTTGGTCAGTCATTCGTCCAAGTCACATGTAACCTTGTTTTGTTGTTGTTGTTGATTGGAGATATTTAGCCACTGTTTTGATTACTTGATATTTTATACTTTGGGAGAGGTACTGGGGATGTCTTAATTGGTCAAGATAGAAATATAATTAATTTAAGTTTATTGCTCCTCCGGGAACCAACCTGTCCTCATACAAAGCAATCTGTCCTCCTTCAAAGAACGTCGCATTTCGATCGTATGCGTTATCTAAGGGCAAAAATTGTCGTACTAGAAATTAGAAGCGGCTCGCAAAAGTAGCGTACTCTCCCGTTTTCTGCTTTTGGTTCTCTGGTAGGTTAGGAAAGGACACTTAAAATTTACAGTTTTCTTGACGTTGGGAAACCTTAGGAGGACGGGCTGTGGGCTTACATGTCCAGGAACGAAGTGTCTCGGAAATTTCCGACAACACTTATTAACTTTCAATACAAACATCAAATATTTTAGTCATACAGTCAAAGAAACTGCATAAATGGCAATTCACGCCAAAAAACGAGATTATTTGCCACGTCGCAGGAATCAATTTAACACCCATATAATTATTCAGTAAATACTTAATACAACAGTCTTAGGACTGAAATTAATAATATACACTACTAAATTATTAGTTATCAAGCGAGTTAGAATAAACTCCTTCCAATTATTAATAAAACTCAATGAGAACCATTTTTAGGGACGTGTCCCGAGGAAGGTGTATCCATTATTATTGTTGGGAAAACTGAGCAGCGAGAGTGTCTCCCACAACACATAAAGTTACTTCTCGCGGGTCCAGGAATGCAGTGTGACTACAAACAGTTGCCACTGGCTGCTGAGACTTCGCGAAATATAGGGACGTGCTAAATCTCCGACTAACCCCCATTTATTTGTTCGTTATTATGGCCATATGGCTTACAGATAGGTGAGTTGGTTAGGCTGCAGGAAAACACCACCCGCAAGGGGAAGAATCATCTACTAAAATAATCTAAGTTTCATGCTTTACTTATAGTTTTCAAGCTTTACGATGTAAAATTTCGGCAGATAAATTGAGACCGCATGAAAAAACAATTGAGCTCGTACTTCCCTGAACCACTCGGACGCCATTGATACCTATCCAGTACGGAGTAGGTGTCCGAGGGTGTCTGGTGTTGAATGACCAGCCAACACTACAGAAATACCAGAGACTGTTTATAATTACAACTAATTTCTAGAATTACTACTAACTATTTAATTACAGTTTAGTAGATATAATTATATCAACCGTTTCATTACGGTGTAATAAACTGAATTTATAAACCCCCTAAGTTTGTGTGAAAGGAATTTTACTGGTGATATTAAATTATACATATAGTCCGCCCAGAAGTTATAAATAAGTAATGAATACAATTAAATACAATCCATTGCAAATTAATCAAGAATAGTGAATTAATGACTGGTAGATTTCTCACAGCGTGACATTGTAAGGCCTCAAGCGTGCTGAAGTTTATTGTGAATCATTTGGGAATGAATTTAGGTTTGTGGGTTTGCATGTGAGGTTACTTTTTGTTAAAAGGAAAAAAATGTGGTTAGTTCTGTCCTGTCTCTGCTTATGAAGGTTTTGAAAATGAGATTATGTTTGAAGTTAGCCATAATTCACTTATGAAAATTAGGTCTGTTTTTGATGAGTCGAGGAATTGTTTCAGTTCTGTGAGAGATGGTTTCATGTTTTTACCATTTCAGGTCATGAAGGTCAAGGAAGTAGTTTAGTACGTTTGCTTCGTGATTGTTTCTGTTGTTCTTGTCGTTCACTGGCGCGGTGTTGGATATCAGTTTGGGGGGGGGGGTGATGGGACGACAGTCTGGTTTATGTGCTTTTTCAGTCTGATGAGCACCGGGTCGTTGGATCTTTTATTTGACAGCTGAGAGTTTCTTACTCCTAATTTCAGTGGCTGTTATGTCAGAAGTTAACGCGGGGGATGGATTGGCTTCGTTTTTTTTTAGGTATTTACCTATTGCTCGGTCCAGTTTTAGTTCCATTCTCATGTCTATGCCGATGGAAGCTGTGTTTGTTTGGATTTTACTTTCTGTTGGTGGTGTGTTGAGCCAGTCTCAGGGATTGGTTGGTTTTGTTGTGCGGCACTTTACAGATGTCTAGTTGCTGGAACACTGTGTTCAGTAGACAGGAAGGCAAGAAGCTGTGTGGTGCTGCCAAGGCTTCCAGGTCATATTTCTAATCCAGGATATATATTTGCTTCCTGGATTTAGAGAAGCCGCCCGTGTTTGCAAGTTAATATATACTTACATGCCAGGAACTCTTAGCAGTGTGGTTCACTTGATTGTTATATGGCAATTTGTTTGGGTTTGTTTGAGACACTGGTGTTGTGTGGGTGTTGTGGGGGATGGTGGCGTTGTGTGGGGGATGGTGGTGTTATGTGGGATGTTGGAGTTGTTGGGTGTTGTGTAGGATGTTGGTATTGTGTGGGATGCTGGTGTTGTGTGGGATGGTGGTATTGTGGGGGTTGTTTAGGTGTTGTGTGGGATGATGGTATTGTGGCGGGTGATATGTGGTATGCTGGTTTTGTGTGGGATGGCGATACTGTGGGGGTGTTGTGTCGATAGCACAGGCCTGAGCTTCAGTGATGAGATTTAGCAGATCAGTAGAAGTAGACATTCCACAACAAGAGCGTCCTCTTGGACGCTGGCACCAATTGACTTTCAGATTTTAGATTCCTTTACATTGAGGACTACTCTTAAGAGTTTGTTCATGATGGTAGCCCTTTTATTAGTTATAAGATGGGGCCTGATATACCTAGTGCTTGAAGCTTTACTAGTTGTAAAAAGTTCCATACCCGATCAAAGACCTTTACAATATCCAGTACAACACAACTGACATTGGACTCGTCCAGTGACTTATTCCAGACTCGTGAAATTATTTTTTTTAGTGATAAATTCCAGGTACTTAAGAATGGTAAAAATTAAGACAAACAAATTACAGGGTACAAAGCACAATCAAAGTGCCACAAAGTGGAAAAACAACATGTAGAAGGTCTGGAAATAATCATGTCTGACGACCTAACGTTTAAGGAGCATAACAAAGCAAATACAGTGTCACCCAGGAAAATGATAGGTTCGATTACGAGAACCTTCAAATCCAGATATACCATCACTCTGCTCACTATCAAATGACTGGTGCTGTCCCGTCATTGGTGCAAATTATTGGTACCGTCTCAACCCTCCCAAGATTTACTCTTTAGAAAGGAAACGAGAGAGGCACCAAATTATATACACATGAAAAATACTGGAGGGACAGGTCCCAAATTAGCACAGTAAAATACATACCTGAGTGAACGATATGGAAGGAAATGCAGAACAGAGCCAGTGAAGAGTAGAGGTGCCATAGGCACAATCAGAGAACACTATGAACATCTGACGTCCACGGTAGTTCAATATCATCCCAGCAATTATAAGAAATATTGCCAGAACAAAACTGGAACAAAATAGTCTTTAAACAAAAACTGGACAGTTTTCTGCAAGAAGTGCCGGACCAACCGGGTTGTAGTGGATATGTGGGCCTGCGGGCCGCTCCAAGCAACAGCCTGTTGGATCAAGCTCTCACAAGTCAAGCCTGGTCTGGGTAGAACTACTCCCTGAACCCCCTCCAGTTACAATCTAGGTAATGGAGATGTGTAGCAAAATATCAACAGCATAACGACCATTCAAGGACCGTACTGTCTACCACAGGTACCGATAATGACAAAAAAATACTGTCACCTGTTCAGAGATTAATATCTCAAGAATTTTACCAGTAACTGAAAGGAGTTAAATTGATCTGTATTTACCAACCACTAAACGAGTCCTCATTGTGTTGACTGGAACTACACCTGCCGTCTTCTATAGGAAAGATCATATTCCTTGGGCTAGGCAGACCTGGTAGAAGCGTGTGAGAGGCGAGGCCAGCTGGTCCGCACAACCAGCTAACAATCTGGGGCTAACCTTGCCTGGCCCCGCTGCCTTACCTATGACGAGTGATTTAAGGAAGTGGTGGCCGTTATTGTGCTTAATGACCACTGTAGATAACTTTGGCTCAAGCTGTGCTCATTGTTGTAATGAAGCAGGGACTTGCATCCAATCAGCAAAATGGTCAGCTGGAAGGTCGGCCTTTACTTGATTTATAGTTCCAACAGTCCCATCTTCCCGGTTTAGTGGTGGGATCGTCTTCAGATGAATATTCATCTGACCATCATCAGAGACCATCAGACTTTGGATCCAACTTTTCCTGACACAAGTTTTCTTCTTGCTTATAATAAGAATATTTGTATGATCATTAATAAGTATGACAAATGAAGTATAACAATGGGATTTATGCTCTTAAATATACTCAATTAAACATTTAAAATGTTGCTACTTTAAATGTCTGTGTTTGTTCTGAGATACAACAAACATTTGTTTTTAACTATTACTACAAAAAAGGTTAAGAAAGTTGTAACATCTTTATTGAGTGTTTTAGAGAGGTTTATTGTAAAAGTTACCGAGAGTCTACTAATGGTTGGCTCACCAATAACACTGTATCAGAGAATGGTCTCCTCTGAGTACATGAGCTGGTGGACGGAACAAGGCAACTCTTCGCTCTCAAGATCCATTTCCTCCGGCGACCCCCTCCGCAGCCTCCTCAGGGGAACACCTCCACCTCTACCCGACGAGGCTCTCATTGAGTTACTGCGTATAGGTATTCCTGTTGGCTCAGAGGGCTGCCTCAGCATTCCGCCTCGGTAGAGTCCCATCTCGCTGGACGTATTTTGTGGAGTTCGGGTTACAAAATTATCCGCTAAATTTGGTGGACGTGGCAGTGTCCAACCTCGGTTGTGAGTTGGTACTCTGGGCAAATTTAACGGTAAATCATTGCGATAGTTACCAGCTACTCTGAAAGAATGTTGTAATGTGTTACACTTAAAGTGTTTTGCTTTGTTTGGTTCGTACTTGAGCCTCCAGTCATTGTAGCTTTCTGCTAATTTCTGTGGACGTTTCAGTGCCCCACTACGATAACCTTCAGCTCCCTGAGGCCGCCGCTCGTGCCAAGCACTGTCATTTTCACCTACATTTGTGGGCAGTCCTTGTGTCTCCCCGACAGCATGGCTCTCGTCTTCCTTGGTGGACTTCCTTGGCCATCCACTCGGGGGCTCCTCTATTGTCTTGGGGAAAAGGTTGAGGTTGCCTGAGGGAAAGTTGTCATCGTTGCGGGAGGAGTTGATGACCCAGCCCCCAGGGTAGTCTTCGGCGTCCTGCGGCAGCTGCTGAAGCCACTCGCCTATGTGCTCCTCGTCCTTCTTGGACACGTGCTTCAGTTTTCTGGCCAGCTTGGCTTCACTCTCCTTAGGAAAGAGCTGCAGCCATTCCCCCAGGTAGTTGTCAGCCTCTTTGGTTGCTTCTTGTGTCTTTCCTGACGGTGTCTCCTCGGCTTCTATCTTTTTCTGTTAATGAGAGACAATTACTTTACGTATTTTGTTATGCACATGAGACTTTGTTGTTACATTCACAGTTTATAACACAGGCGCGAGCACATACACACACACACAAAGGGAAAACATATATATGCATATAGTGTATATATGAGTGACGGTAAAGGCAACCGTGAAGACGTCACCACAAGGTGCTATGGAAACCACAAACAGTGTGAGGACCCACCATGGCAACACTCTGATGCTGCGGGTTGACCACCACCTTGAAGATCTCCTCCACAGTGGCTATACTGTCGCTTCCTCCAGTATAAGGGTAGGACGGGCGAGAGAGGTCGTCATCGTCGTCGTCGCTGGACGGGAGGAGGCTGCCCTGGTCCCCCTGACACTCGCCGGGCACCGCCTGGTACATGGTCTCCTCTACAAGCACAGCAACTGTCACTTAGTGCCCTCCCGTCCCCCACCCGCATCCAAATGATCAAATATAAATAATTAGCTCAGCACTCCAACTGCTGCAAGTCTCCTGTAAGATACTTCAAGTAAATACTTCCAAAATCAAACCAAAAAGAACTGTAGGAATCATCTAAGTTAGTTTTTGTATATTTATATCTTGAAAAAATATATGTATTTTTAAATAATCTGCAATGTATAATCTATCTATTCTTTAACTACTTCAGTGGGCAAATATTTCCTTATACAGTTATTACGGTTTGCGGGGTTCTTGAAATACTTCATTAGTTTGATTTCAAATTTTCCCTCACCAGCAACTGTGAAGATGTCGTTGAAGCAAGAACTGTGTATGCGCTGAAGCTGTCGTGGAAACATGAACAGTGCGCGCTAAAGCTCTTGTTAATGTGAGCTAAACATGAATACCATGGGGGGGGGGGCCATGGCAAGAAATGTCAGAAAAGAAAGCACTAGTACCGTTAATGAGGCGAGAAGGGATTAGAAGATGTATATTACACCGGGACACCACATTGTAATAATCATTTGCTAGATTTTTCTGCTTTTCTGGTGGGAAAAACCACTTCTTAAACCCCCTTTCTTGCCCTTAGTGATCACGAAACCAATTACTTGCAATATAAGGAGAAAAAACACTAAAGGGGAAGGAGAGCATTCAAACAGTCAACTAAAATCGTGCCTTAAATCATTCACAAGGAACTTTGAGACAAATTTACGAAGCAGGATTAAGTTTCAGGATCAAGAGAAGGAAGGACACGCCACTCACCTTTGTTCCAGATATCTTCTGAAGGTGGTGCCCGTAGTGCCGTGGCTTCCGTTGACCCTCCTGAAGGCAAAGGACACCCATTCATCTTCACAGAAATACATTCCACTTTCTTATACAATTTAAAAAAAATCTTGTATATTATCACACTATTGCAGTGGAAATCTTGTAAATTTCAAAACTTTCTTACGCAAAACGGAAATATTGCATAGCAACAACACCAAATATGAATGCAAGGACAAAGATGCATACCATAATGGCGGGTAGTGTATACACATTCACCTAAGTATACGGCAAAATCAAACAGTATTATTAATACATAAAATAGGTGTGAATTATGGCTCGGACGGTACTTCTGAGAGATGAAAATACAACTCATTTTGAGGGCATCTGCCTGACTGACGGGTGTAGCTGCTGCTCATATATAGAACTGACAGCCATAATATATATTTGTGTGTGCATTAGTGCATTAGTATGAGTGGTAGAGCAGCAAGCAGCCAGCGAGGGGCGGCGCCACTCACCAAGAGTCAACATGGGGCGGGTGTCGTCGGCGGAGGCGAGGTGGAGCGACTTAGTCTTGCAGGATGGGCGCCTCTTGCTCCAGTACACCCTCGCCCACACCCCGCCGCCCACCACCACCGCCGTCACCAGCACGCCGCCCACCACCCCGCCCACAACGCCACCACCCTCGCTCACATCACCGTCGCTATCTAGTAATTTCAAATATTAATATTAACTTTTTTTGACAGACAAATCTACAAACAACTATTTTTTTTTTACACATGTTGATGGAACTATTTCTAAAGGAGAATATATAAGTATATAACATTAATCAAAGTAAACCAGTAAAAACATGAGTTAGGTAATTATATGGAACACAAAACAAAACAAAATGTCAAGTAGATAGTTTTAAGGTCAAAAAATACCGATGTTCTGCAGGGATTATTATATAAGATTATACTGTAGTGACTTTATGAGGTAGTGACTTTATACTGTAGTGACTTATGATGTAGTGACTTTATGCTGTAGTTACTTTATGCTGCAGTTACTTTATGCTGTAGTTACTTTATCCTATAATTACTTATTAATATACACACATTTGCACATTGAAATCACATTACGGTGATGTATCAATGAGAAAATCAATATAGGGGGTCATGAAGAGGATTCGAACCCGCACACTTGGTACTCCCAAGCACACGCCCTGGACCACGACACCACGACATGGTCAACAGCAATGCAACCAGGGATTCAACTGAATCCTGTAGGTCTCGCTTCATGCAGGTCGGCGTTCAATCCCCGACCGTCCAAGAGGTTGGGCACCATTCCCTTCCCCCCTGTTCCATCCCCAACTCTTATCCTGACCCCTTCCAAGTGCTATATAGTCGTAATGGCTTGGCGCTTTCCCTTGATTTATAATGATTCACTAATAAAATGAGGCTTCCACTGAAGCTCAATCAGGCGTTTCATGCCTTGCCCCCCTCCATGCACCCTGGCTGTGATCCAGGACGTGTGTTTCGGAGTACCAAGTGTGAGGGTTCGAATCCTCTTCAAGACTCCTATACTGATTTTCTCGCTGCACACAGTCTTATGCAGGCGGAGGAACAACTCAAACATTAGGCTCCGGAGGGAGAGAAAAGGCACCTGCTGGTGAGGTGGAGGACCTGGAGGTGTAAGCGGAGACGACGACGGGCTGGGAGGTGACGGGCCCGTGGCTGACGTACACCTTGATCTGGTAACTGGTCCCTGCGTCCAGCCGACTCACGTTGAAGTTAGGACGCGTCGAGGTCACGTTGGCGAAGAGCGTCCTGTTGTCGAAGTACACCTGGTGGGGGGGAGGAGGAGGAGGCTGGGGTGTAGTGTTATACACTCACACACATCAGTGTACGTGTGTGTGTGTGTGTGTGTGTGTGTGTGTGTGTGTGTGTGTGTGTGTGTGTGTGTGTGTGTGTGTGTGTGTGTGTGTGTGTGTGTACGTGTTTGTCTACGGAGACTGTTTTCTAGAGTGAGAGACAGAGAGAGAGTGCCAGTGCGCGTGTGTGTGAAAATAGTTTACAGATGTTTGTCCATTTGTATACTTTAAGTATGAGATAAACTGAGTATGAATCTGCAATAGATATGATATACTGTTATCGCTGAGGGTACACGATAGCGAGCGCATCATGCTATTTCTCGCCGCTAAGTTTGCGTGCATGTAAAGTGTTGGAGTGCAACCCCACTTGTTGCGCATTCACGCTCAACCCGGCACATGCCAGAGTGCATCCCAGTGTCTTGAAGGTTGACCTCCAGCCTACCACCGGCATCTAGGTCAAGTTGAAGCCAAACAGTTAGCGTCTGTTAGATTTATTGAGCATTACCTCTGATATTTAATGTAAGATATCAACACTTTGATTATTGTGTGACTGATGCAAAGTTGTGGGAGGGGATAGTTACACTTATATAGAGAGGAGAGTGTCCTTGGTATGCCCCGGACAGCTGTGTAAAGTCATTGACGTGTCTGCATTGTTAGTGAGTTGTCATTTTGTTTTGCATGGCAAGTGTTTGTGTGTGTGTGTGTGTGTGTGTGTGTGTGTGTGTGTGTGTGTGTGTGTGTGTGTGTGTGTGTGTGTGTGTGTGTGTGTGTGTGTGTGTGTGTGTGTGTGTGTGTGTGTGTGTGTGTGTGTGTGTGTGTGTGTGTGTGTGTGTGTGTGTGTGTGTGTGTGTGTGTGTACACGCACGGATGTGTAGAGGCGTTTATGTGTGCACGTGGGTATAATTAATTAAAAAGTAATTTAACAAATTTGCTTGTTCGAGAAGTATGGTATTGTTATTAACCATTATATTTAATATCTACGTGACTGTATCACAGAGAACAACTACTGACAAACCTCACTGATTACATTTGAAACAATTACCTCGCTGTAAGATACAGTGCATCTGTGTGTTGCTATCATTGCGTACGACGTGTTTGGTGTGTGTGTGTGTGTGTGTGTGTGTGTGTGTGTGTGTGTGTGTGTGTGTGTGTGTGTGTGTGTGTGTGGTACAGGACGTACCTGGTGTAGTGTGTGGTACAGGACGTACCTGGTGTAGTGTGTGGTACAGGACGTACCTGGTGTAGTGTGTGGTACAGGACGTACCTGGTGTAGTGTGTGGTACAGGACGTACCTGGTGTAGTGTGTGGTACAGGACGTACCTGGTGTAGTGTGTGGTACAGGACGTACCTGGTGTAGTGTGTGTGGTGCAGGACGTACCTGGTGTAGTGTGTGGTACAGGACGTACCTGGTGTAGTGTGTGGTGCAGGACGTACCTGGTGTAGTGTGTGGTGCAGGACGTACCTGGTGTAGTGTGTGGTACAGGACGTACCTGGTGTAGTGTGTGGTACAGGACGTACCTGGTGTAGTGTGTGGTACAGGACGTACCTGGTGTAGTGTGTGGTACAGGACGTACCTGGTGTAGTGTGTGTGGTGCAGGACGTACCTGGTGTAGTGTGTGGTACAGGACGTACCTGGTGTAGTGTGTGGTACAGGACGTACTTGGTGTAGTGTGTGTGGTGCAGGACGTACTTGGTGTAGTGTGTGGTACAGGACGTACCTGGTGTAGTGTGTGTGGTGCAGGACGTACCTGGTGTAGTGTGTGGTACAGGACGTACCTGGTGTAGTGTGTGGTACAGGACGTACCTGGTGTAGTGTGTGGTACAGGACGTACCTGGTGTAGTGTGTGTGGTGCAGGACGTACCTGGTGTAGTGTGTGGTGCAGGACGTACCTGGTGTAGTGTGTGGTACAGGACGTACCTGGTGTAGTGTGTGGTACAGGACGTACCTGGTGTAGTGTGTGTGGTGCAGGACGTACTTGGTGTAGTGTGTGGTACAGGACGTACCTGGTGTAGTGTGTGGTACAGGACGTACCTGGTGTAGTGTGTGTGGTGCAGGACGTACCTGGTGTAGTGTGTGTGGTGCAGGACGTACCTGGTGTAGTGTGTGTGGTGCAGGACGTACCTGGTGTAGTGTGTGTGGTGCAGGACGTACCTGGTGTAGTGTGTGGTGCAGGACGTACCTGGTGTAGTGTGTGGTACAGGACGTACCTGGTGTAGTGTGTGTGGTGCAGGACGTACTTGGTGTAGTGTGTGGTACAGGACGTACCTGGTGTAGTGTGTGTGGTGCAGGACGTACTTGGTGCAGTGTGTGGTACAGGACGTACCTGGTGTAGTGTGTGTGGTGCAGGACGTACTTGGTGTAGTGTGTGTGGTGCAGGACGTACCTGGTGTAGTGTGTGTGGTGCAGGACGTACCTGGTGTAGTGTGTGGTGCAGGACGTACCTGGTGTAGTGTGTGTGGTGCAGGACGTACCTGGTGTAGTGTGTGTGGTGCAGGACGTACTTGGTGTAGTGTGTGGTACAGGACGTACCTGGTGTAGTGTGTGGTGCAGGACGTACCTGGTGTAGTGTGTGTGGTGCAGGACGTACCTGGTGTAGTGTGTGGTGCAGGACGTACCTGGTGTAGTGTGTGGTGCAGGACGTACCTGGTGTAGTGTGTGGTACAGGACGTACCTGGTGTAGTGTGTGGTACAGGACGTACCTGGTGTAGTGTGTGTGGTGCAGGACGTACCTGGTGTAGTGTGTGTGGTGCAGGACGTACCTGGTGTAGTGTGTGGTGCAGGACGTACCTGGTGTAGTGTGTGGTGCAGGACGTACCTGGTGTAGTGTGTGTGGTGCAGGACGTACCTGGTGTAGTGTATGGTACAGGACGTACCTGGTGTAGTGTGTGGTGCAGGACGTACCTGGTGTAGTGTGTGTGGTGCAGGACGTACCTGGTGTAGTGTGTGGTACAGGACGTACCTGGTGTAGTGTGTGGTACAGGACGTACCTGGTGTAGTGTGTGGTACAGGACGTACCTGGTGTAGTGTGTGTGGTGCAGGACGTACCTGGTGTAGTGTATGGTGCAGGACGTACCTGGTGTAGTGTGTGGTACAGGACGTACCTGGTGTAGTGTGTGGTACAGGACGTACCGGGTGTAGTGTGGTGCAGGACGTACCTGGTGTAGTGTGTGGTACAGGACGTACCTGGTGTAGTGTGTGGTACAGGACGTACCTGGTGTAGTGTGGTGCAGGACGTACCTGGTGTAGTGTGTGGTACAGGACGTACCTGGTGTAGTGTGTGGTGCAGGACGTACCTGGTGTAGTGTGTGGTACAGGACGTACCTGGTGTAGTGTGTGGTGCAGGACGTACCTGGTGTAGTGTGTGTGGTGCAGGACGTACCTGGTGTAGTGTGTGGTACAGGACGTACCGGGTGTAGTGTGGTGCAGGACGTACCGGGTGTAGTGTATGGTACAGGACGTACCTGGTGTAGTGTATGGTGCAGGACGTACCTGGTGTAGTGTGTGGTGCAGGACGTACCTGGTGTAGTGTGTGGTGCAGGACGTACCTGGTGTAGTGTGTGGTGCAGGACGTACCTGGTGTAGTGTGTGTGGTGCAGGACGTACCTGGTGTAGTGTGTGGTGCAGGACGTACCTGGTGTAGTGTGTGGTGCAGGACGTACCTGGTGTAGTGTGTGTGGTGCAGGACGTACCTGGTGTAGTGTGTGGTGCAGGACGTACCTGGTGTAGTGTGTGGTGCAGGACGTACCTGGTGTAGTGTGTGTGGTGCAGGACGTACCTGGTGTAGTGTATGGTGCAGGACGTACCTGGTGTAGTGTGTGTGGTGCAGGACGTACCTGGTGTAGTGTATGGTGCAGGACGTACCTCAGCTGTGTAGAGAGTAGAGGGTTGGGGGTCGAGGTGTGGAGTGTGGCAGGCGAGGCTGAGGGAGGTGGTGCTGATGTTGGCCACTCGACACGACGACCGTGGCAGCGACACCTCTGGCCGGACACAACACCTTACACCACATCCATCCTCACAAACATGTCACACCTCTAATGCCCTACTCAGTAAAAACACCGCAAAAGCTAGATGCATTCTTTCATCCCAAATGGAGAATATCACATGAATCTTTGATTTCGAATAAATATAACCACAAGGGCGGAAAAAACGTATATATCTGTAAAGACTGAAAGGTGCTACGGTATGAGATTAATGCCCACCTTTGATAGAGAATTTGCAAGGGTGGAGTTGTGCGCCCATTTCGTTGACGCCCCAGCAGGAGAGCGTCCGGTCCTCGCCTCCTGGATACGGCCGCACCGTCAACTGGGCTGACGTTACCTCGGTCCTCCTGCTGGTGACTGGCGTGCTGGTAGGGTCATCGTTGTTCTTCCACTGCCAGTGGATGGAGGTGACCGGTGGATGTGAGGTGACAGTGCAGGTGATGTTCACCGGTTTATCATAGATGAAGTAAGTGGTCAGCGATGTGAGGCATTCTGGCTTATCTGCCCACAGGAAGAAGAGAGCAAACACCGTACACTACATGCAATGTATTCGGTAAAACATGAGGCTATTATACAACGTGTGTCTATTATACAACATGTGTCTATTATACATCATGTGTCTATTATACAAGGTGTGTCTATTATACAAGGTGTGTCTATTATACAAGGTGTGTCTATTATACAACGTGTGTCTATTATACATTGTGTGTCCTTTATACAACATGTGTCTATTATACAACATGCGTCTATTATACAACATGTGTCTTAAACATATGCAGGCAATATACAGTTTGGAATCAGAGGTCTAAAATTTTATCAATTACTCTCACATTCAAATAATTTGTAACGATATAAGTGAACAGTTTTCAACTTGAACTCGACTCTTCAGAGCAGTTATGGATAGAGCCGAGTGAGCGATGTGTAAAGCCGAGTGAGCGATGTGTAAAGGGAAACACAGAAAACAACGCTCCCACTTTACGACACATCGCACGAACACTCCCCACCGACCCAGACAATTTTCCAGTTTCCAACATACCTCGCCTAAAATGGAGCGTTTACATTTCTGCTTTATGTAGAACACAAGAAGGGATTAGAGAAGACGATCGTAGTTTCTTACTCAAATTACACGCAGCTTTAAGATTAGTTTTATTTTGGCCAAGAATGGATACGTAAAAGGCGCATAATGGGTCATTTAGGCCTGATCAAAGGGACGCCTCAAGTTTATGCTAATCTCAGGCCCGCTACATATCGAGTTTTAATGTTTTATGTAATATTGTATAATAAGTTAGTCTGCATTTCTTTTAATTCAGCAAAAAAAAAAAATGTAATTGTAATCCACAAGGCAAATTACTACCACGAGAATGACGGACACAGAAATTGGCATTTGTATTTCGCGTAGAGATGGGAAGCCTTTATATCCTATTTACATTGACTCATGAAGAATGGTCTTTTTTCAGTGTATTTCGAGACGTGTGAACACATACAAAAAAAATAATCTGCACACACACACACACACACACACACACACACACACACACACACACACACACACACACACACACACACACACACACACACACACACACACACACACACACACGTAAGAATAACATTGAATATTAGAGAGCACAGAGCCCGTGGGGGCGGGCGGGAGGGAGGAGCCCGTGCGGGGTGTTTACATTTGATCTTGAGGGTGGCGGGGGAGCTGACGACGCGGGCCAGGGGGTTGACGGCGCCGCAGCGGTACTGGCCGGCCTGGTCTCGCCGCACGCCCTGCAGCACCAGCGAGTCCCCGCTCATCACCACACCTGCACTCACGTTCTGCGTCATCTCACGACCCTGAGGGACACACACCAACACCTTCGCTGTTAACACAAAACACTCAGGGGACACACCAACACCCCTGTCATTAACACAAAACACTCAGGGGACACACCAAAACCCCTGTCATTAACACAAAACACTCAGGGGACACACCAAAACCCCTGTCATTAACACAAAACACTCAGGGGAGACACCAACACCCCTGTCATTAACACAAAACACTCAGGGGACACACCAACACCCCTGCCATTAAAACACGGCACTAATGCCTCTCTAATAATCGCATATAATGCCAATAGAAACTGAATGCGTGTGATTAAACAATTTAGTTGCTAATAAAAACAACTTGTATTATATAATCCGTGAGGGTTATGGAGAGTGTTAGCCGGAACACAACACGAGTGCTGCAGGATGATCAAGGAGTTGGAACAATGTGGCACACTGAATGGGTCTTGAAATCTTTCTATACTACGGGCTACATTAGCACTGGCGCCTTAACATTTTGGCCAAACAAAATAATGCCAAACAATTATTTAAAATAAATCTGCAGACTTCATACTAGCAAACTGTTCCACATTCATGGAGGGAGGGAGTGGACTGGAGACTTGAGACGATGATCATATGGGATAGTGAAACATGGAGGGAGATCGCCGGAGAGTTGATCCTATGAACACGGGTCGTTTGATTGGAAATTCAGATCTGATAGGAAAGAACTTACTGACTCCCAACGACCTGAAAGTACTAGTATAAAAAGATATGATTTGTTCAGATCTGAAACCTACATCTATGGACAGCACAAAACGTCCACTAGACTGTGCGACACAGTGGTTGCAAGGATCAGGTTGGGTTACCGTTACCTGTGGCAGGTGGCTGCAGGTGACGGGTCTCCCAATCCTGAGCACTCCAGTTGCAAACTCTGTGAGCAGGAACTACGGCATGATCTCCCGCACTACATCACTGAATGCCCAGTTATTAGACCTTTCAGACCAGTTGGCATGAGGTACCTGGAGCTTTGCAATTACTTTGTTCACTCTCGTATTCTTGAAGATATCCTCACAGTATACCCAAAATTTGCCAGTGCAGGCTATTAAACACATGGCCCTGTATGACTAACCATCCTGCGAGATGGGGACTTGTATTACCACTGCTACCTTATTCAATCTTGTGTTGTTGATATCCTCAAAATGCATCCGGAGTCTGCCAGTGCAGACCGCTTATCACATGCCTCTGTATGACTAACCATCCTGTGTGATGGGGATTTTATAGCATCACCTAGTTAGCTTTTTTGACACACTGTACTCCACTTCATATAGTCTAGGATAGCTGCACTAATGCAGATGTACCTCATAACTTAATAATAAAAAAAAAAAATTGATTGGAATCCTTATAATGCACCCAGAGTCTGCCAGTGCAGACTACTAATCACATGCCTCTGTATGACTAACCATCCTGTGTGATGGGGATTTTAGCATCACGTAGCAAGCTTTTTCACACAGAGTGCTTCCCTTCATATAGTCTAGGGAAGCTGCAAAAATGCAGATGTGCCTAAATGTGTTAATAAAAAAAAATCGTCAGATGGCCGAGAATGACTTGAAACACAGAAACATAAAGCTCAACAAGTGAGACAAGGGATCAAGAAATGGAATCTGATACAAAACGACCATGAAAAGGAAATCTCATATATATATCTACATAAAGTTACAGAAGTTGAGACGACAGGTTAAGAAGGTTGTTGACATGCCTGATGGAACCAGGTGATGGTCGAGGCGGGGGGGCTGGCAGAAACGGCGCAGGTAAAGTACACATCGTCGTTCTCCTTCAGCGACTCCGGCTGTAGGGAGCGGCCGAGCGACAGCGACACTGACGGCGGGTCTGACATGTCAAAAAATACCCCATGCTTGTGATCAATGCGTCGATAAATATGTCCATAAATGCTATATTTCCAGTCATCTAGAGTTACCAAAACTGATATGTAATTGTATGTGAGGACAAATGGTAGAGGTGGCCATGGTGTTGAGCGTGAGAGGCAGTCAACACATTATATTATGAAAGACTCTTACTCTTATGGTGTATACTGTACTCTTATGTGTCAAGAAGGTAAGGTTGAGAGAGCCAGGAGAGAGCACTAAGGCAGTGTGACAATATAGCACTTGAAAGCGATAGAACAAGGCTATGAGGACAAGGAGCTAGGCTATGAGGACAAGGAGCCAGGCTATGAGGACAAGGAGCTGGGATATGAGGACAAGGAGCTAGGATATGAGGACAAGGAGCTAGGCTATGAGGACAAGGAGCTAGGCTATGAGGACAAGGAGCTAGGCTATGAGGACAAGGAGCTAGGCTATGAGGACAAGGAGCTAGGCTATGAGGATAAGGAGCCAGGCTATGAGGACAAGGAGCTAGGCTATGAGGACAAGGAGCTAGGCTATGAGGACAAGGAGCTAGGCTATGAGGACAAGGAGCCAGGCTATGAGGACAAGGAGCTAGGATATGAGGACAAGGAGCTAGGCTATGAGGACAAGGAGCTAGGCTATGAGGACAAGGAGCCAGGATATGAGGACAAGGAGCTGGGATATGAGGACAAGGAGCTAGGATATGAGGACAAGGAGCTAGGATATGAGGACAAGGAGCTAGGCTATGAGGACAAGGAGCCAGGCTATGAGGACAAGGAGCTAGGCTATGAGGACAAGGAGCTAGGCTATGAGGACAAGGAGCCAGGCTATGAGGACAGGGAGCCAGGATATGAGGACAAGGAGCCAGGATATGAGGACAAGGAGCTAGGCTATGAGGACAAGGAGCCAGGCTATGAGGACAAGGAGCCAGGCTATGAGGACAAGGAGCCAGGCTATGAGGACAAGGAGCTAGGCTATGAGGACAAGGAGCTAGGCTATGAGGACAAGGAGCCAGGCTATGAGGACAAGGAGCCAGGCTATGAGGACAAGGAGCTAGGCTATGAGGACAAGGAGCTAGGCTATGAGGACAAGGAGCCAGGCTATGAGGACAAGGAGCTAGGCTATGAGGACAAGGAGCTAGGATATGAGGACAAGGAGCTGGGATATGACGACAAGGATCTGGGATATGACAAGGATCTGGGATATGACAAGGAGCTGGGATATGAGAACAAGGAGCTGTTGCAGGAGGACAAAGAACTGACATAAGAGAAAGGGACGAAAGAATGGTGTCCAGCCACAGGGAACATCGAGGATCAAACGCCGACCTGCAAGAAACCAGGCCATCGCTGTACCAACCACTCCAAATGGTTGATTCTGCCAATCCTTCATTTAAGCAGTAAATGAAACCGCTTTGCGAAATAAAAAGAATAAATTACACAATTATCTGTGAACGAGCGGAATAAATCCATGGCGTTATCAGGTGTCAAAAACACACAGAACGGTTTATATAAAAATTATTCACGATCATCGAGTTTTAAAATAAATACAAGATAAAATAAATTCAGTACATTTATACTGAAGTATAAATTCATATCCTTCATTTATATTGAATTTATACCGTAGTATAAATTTATGCTGAATATAAAACTAACAAAGAGGAATAGTTTAAACAAAATGAAATATAAATATATTGTCAGACGGTACAAGTATAATACACAACCACAATAATGAATGCACACACGCACGCTCGCGCACACACGCACGTGTGTGTAAATCACAAACAAAATAACAAAATCCAATATCCAAGTTATGAATATATATATATATATATATATATATATATATATATATATATATATATATATATATATATATATATATATATATATATATACACCCCATTTATTACATTAAAACTAAATCAAATAAAAAGTCAAACAACAACAGTCCACTGGGTCAGTTCAAACTTATTTCCTCATATCATAAGTGTGTTATAGAGATAAAAACTGTAAAAATAAAATAATGAAGAGAGGAGTGGATAGGTTGTGGGATGGGTAAGGGAGAAGGAGAGGAGTGGATAGGCTGAGGGATGGGAGAGGGAGGGTTGGTGAGGGGGCCCGTCTATAAACCGAAGGTTAAGAGTATTGATGGCGGGAAGTGCAATAATGGGCGAGTGTGTGGTTGATGTAGCCAGCAGCAGCACAGGCCGCCACTGTGTCTCCTCACAGTCTTCAACTCTCACTGAAAAGCCAGAGTTTTGGAACGGTTATAGTTCGTGGCATTATTAATGGCGAGTTTCGAATGGAAAGTCTGGAATGGACAGCTTGAAACGGAGAATTAATATGAGAGAGAGAGAGTTTGGTACTGAGAATTAGTATGAGAGTTTGGAACTGGAAATTTAGGGTATTGGTATGAGAGTTTGGAACTGAAAATTTAGGGTATTGGTATGAGAGTTTGGAACTGAAAATTTAGGGTATTAGTATGAGAGTTTGGAACTGAAAATTTAGGGTATTAGTATGAGAGTTTGGAACTGAAAATTTAGGGTATTAGTATGAGAGTTTGGAACTGAAAATTTAGGGTATTAGTATGAGAGTTTGGAACTGAAAATTTAGGGTATTAGTATGAGAGTTTGGAACTGAAAATTTAGGGTATTAGTATGAGAGTTTGGAACTGAAAATTTAGGGTATTAGTATGAGAGTTTGGAACTGGAAATTTAGGGAATTAGTATGAGAGAGAAAGAGAAGTGAAAGGGTGGTAATAATTAAGAGTATTACTTCAGAACTTACACTTCAAAACCCGGAACTTGATGACGATAAATGTATACTCGTTTTCAGTTGTCAGAACTGAAAACGAGTACAGCTTTAATCTTATTCGCAAGTTGAGAATTTTTTCCCAGAGTACAAGAAAACAGCAAACAAGACGCCTAGAAACTCGGTAGGTTGTAGATACGCGTAGATGGGGTAGAGAATAGACGCGCATGGAGATGTGGTAAAGAGTAGAAATGAGTAGAGACGGTGGTAGTGAGTAGAAACAGGATTGAGAGTAGAACCATATAGAGACGTAGGAGAGAGCAGAAGCGCGTAGAAAAATGGTAGAGTAGAAGCGCACAAAGACGTGGCAGCGAGTAGATACGTGGCAGAGGTGAAGATCGTAGAGACGTGGTAGAGAGCAGAAGCACGTAGAGACATGGAATTATCAAGGGAAAGCGCCAAGCCATTACGACTATATAGCACTGGGAAGGGGTCAGGATAAGGATTTGGGATGGGACGGAGGGAAAGGGATGGTGTCCAACCACTTGGCCGGTCAGGGATTGAACGCCGACCTGCATGAAGCGAGACCGTCGCTCTTACCGTCCAGCCCAAGTGGTTGGGCTGACATGGTAGGGAGTAGAAGCTTACAGTAGACGGTGAGGTAGGTGGAGTTCGAGACCCGCTGGCCCCTTAGAGCAGGGTTGGTGGCGGTGCAGGCGACGCTGACGTTGTTGTGGGCGCGGCTGACGTTCACCAGCAGGGTGGACCACGTCACTCGGCCCTCAGACACACTCTGGGGACAAACTCAAAGTCACTCACCTCAACGCCTATTCTCAGTGTATTCATACACACTAATACAGATTTAAATACACTATAGGACTCGAGGAGATGGCATAGGTGGCCAGCTAGTGGGTGTAAGTGAGGAGTAGCCAGTTGTAGGGTGTATGGGAGAAGAACGTGGGTTGTGTATTCACCTAGTTGTGCTTGCGGGGGTTGAGCTCTGCTAACTAATTTTTTCCCCCACACATAAACACACACCGGGAAGCAGCCCGTAACAGCTGTCTAACTCCCAGGTACCTATTTACTGCTAGGTAACAGGAGCATCAGGGTGAAAGAAACTCTGCCCATTTTGTTTCTGCCATCACCGGGGATCGAATCCGGATCCTAGGATTACGAGTCCAGAGCGCTGTCCACTCAGCTATCAGGCCCCTCTGGTCAGTATGTGGGGGGTGTAGCTGTGACTCTACATACACCAATACCTCACCATCACTATAAACACTCTCCACACCTCCATCACACCGCTACGTACACCACTACCACACCATCATTACTACTTCAAACACTCTCCACACTATCACCACAACACCTCCACTACACACACTACCCCCACCACCACGTCTCTGCTGACACACCACCGTCACTGTTACACACACACGCCCTCTCCAACCACACCCACATAACCCCCACACACCTCGAGACACCCACATAACCCCCACACACCTCGAGAACCACCACACCACCACAACCAGACCACCACCACACCACACCACCACAACCAGACCACCACCACACCACACCACCACAACCAGACCACCACCATACCCCCCCCCCCCCCAACAATGCACTGCACCCGAATGGAGTCCACTCTTTACCAAACAGATTTCCAACAAAACTGGTGCCTGAACTAAGAGGACTAATGTACGAGGACAGGTTAATGGAACTGAATCTCATAACATAATAATATAGAAAAAGAACAGAGGGGGGACATGATCACTACATTCAAGATACTGATGAGAGCAGACAAGGTGAACAAGAACAGCCTCTTTAAAATGAGAGAATGTAGGAAAAGAAGACGTAGGTGAAATGTGGGGAAAACTTGCACTTTATACTGGTGGTAAACTGGAGAAATTTAATGAAAGAAGAAGTCGTGGAAACCACCTCCATCTAAAAGAACTCTAAGGTCAGTAAAGCTAAAATGAAAGATAGATGACCAACTATTCAACAGGATGAACTACCCAGCCGGTTGACCTACTTAGGAGGATGACCTACTTAGGAGGATGATCTACTTAGGAGGATGATCTACTTAGGAGGATGACCTACTTAGGAGGATGACCTACTTAGGAGGATGATCTACTTAGGAGGATGACCTACTTAGGAGGATGATCTACTTAGGAGGATGACCTACTTAGGAGGATGATCTACTTAGGAGGAGGATCTACTTAGGAGGATGACCTACTTAGGAGGATGACCTACTTAGGAGGATGACCTACTTAGGAGGATGACCTACTTAGGAGGATGACCTACCCCGGAGTTGGATGACTGACCTAGGCAAGAGGGCTACCCAGAAGAATAACATATAGAGGAGGCCGGGTAACGTGCCGCCGCGGGAAGGAACTGACCTGGTGGGCGCGGGTAAGTGTACCGTTGAGGCTCCAGGTGAGGGTTGGGGCGGGCTGGGCGCCGGTGGCCAGACAGCGAAGGTGTGCCTGCCGGCCCTCCACCACCGGCCCGGGGTTCTCCACCACCACCGTCGACGGCATCACTGCAACACCAACACTCATTCATTCACCATCACTCCTGTGCCAGGTAAGTCCACCACGGGCTCACCATAGCCCATGTTACTGGCCCCGCTCCTGTGCCAGGTAAGTTACGGGCTCACCACAGCCCGTGCTACTTGGAACTTGTTCCGAGTAGCTGAATCTGTAACCAACACTCCCTCACACTTTCAAATCTGTTTTCTTTGGCAGCTAAATACCATCACATGTTGGCATCTCAAGGCATGACACTGTTGATATGCTTGCAAAGACAGCCAGTAAAAAACCAGCGGTAGAAATTGATATGAGTGTTTCACTAGCAGTGACAAAGAGAATACTTAATTATCTAATGAAGATCTCACCGACCTAACAAATTCACAAAGACCTGAAAGTTGCAGTATTAAATATTATGATAGATATCGTGAGAGACATTCACATATGGGACTAATAGAACAAGAACCCGGCAATGTGATGTTATAGTGGCCAGAATACGCCTGGGATATAGACGCATCTGGCAGCTTTCTCAAAACCCAAATGTCGAGTACACAATGTGTCAACTTTGTGAAAGTGAAAACATGCACTCACTTGAACATTATATTGTAGAATATCCCGTATTGTCTGACTTTCGCCCTCCTGGGCTGAGGTATGCTGAACTCTGTAACTACTATATGAGTACTGGAACACTTGATATATTGGACTTGTACCCTAGATTGACCATGTAATGTAACTATATAACCTGAGCTTGTAAAAGCATCTTAATCACCTTCAGTGGTTAAGTTCTTAATTGCACACTAGTTTCTCTTGTCAGCTATCTCACCCTGTCAGAGTAAAAGAGACAAATTAATATGTATGTATGTGTGTGAATGTATGTATGTATGTATGTGTGTGTGTATGTGTATAAAGTATAAAGCGGATCAGAATTACATTTCACCATTATAAATTCATATTAATGCATTCATAAATCTGTGTATCTATGTATTTACGTATGTAGCTGAGCCTAACATTTTAAAAGCACTACAATCACCTTCTGTGGTTGTTCAATAAATCTCTGAACTGTATGTTTGACAAATCTCTCACCCTGTCCATGGAGGACAAGAAAATGTATATATGCTGGTTAGCATTGTAAATGTGTGGCCACGTCTGTGGTACAAAATAATAATAATAAAAAAAAACTCCCTCACACTTTCCGACCCCATGGCCACCTCTCTCCAACTCTTGAATGCAATTTTAATCCTTTTACATGTATATAAAGGGCTTCATATAATAGGTTCTTGTCAAATTTCTTTTGTGGGTCATTCCCGAAGTGATTCTGTTTCACTTCACCTCCCAACTCGTAGAGGTGAGGTGAGGTGCTGTGGATGGTTGGTGAGGCTGTACAGGAGCCAAGCTGTGTGTGTGTACACGGCCTCCACACCTATTACGTTCACAGCTACAAGCATGGTGGTTGAGACTTCATATGGCCCTTTGTTCTGATCACGACACGTGTGTGTGTGTGTGTGTGTGTGTGTGTGTGTGTGTGTGTGTGTGTGTGTGTGTGTGTGTGTGTGTGTGTGTGTGTGTGTGTGTGTGTGTGTGTGTGTGTGTGTGTGTGTGTGTGTGCGTGCGTGCGTGTGCGTGTACCTACCATGGACCTCAACACACCTTTACGACTGTCATAATAATCTCAGAGGCCATTATGTATCTTCCATCTAATTTTCATATCAGGAAAAAATTAGGCTAAATTATCGTTCCGTCTTTTGTATTTGTGACCTTTCTCTGCCTGCCTGCCTGTCTGTCTGTCTGTCTGTCTGTCTGTCTGTCTGTCTGTCTGTCTGTCTGTCTGTCTGTCTGTCTTACTCACGAAACATGCGTATGAGGACCGAAGACGCTGCCGGGGCTGCCAGACGCGTGTTGTTAGCGGTGCAAGTGAGAGTCTGGTCATGCCAGCTGCGCGACGCGTTCTCGATGACCAGGTCGTTCTGCACCGTGGTCGCCGTCACCGCCTCCTCCAGGCGGGAGCTCTTGAGCATCTTCTCCCCCAGCCACCAGGTCAGCACAGGCGGGGGCCATCCTGCACACACACACGCACACGGCGCCATGGAAATAATAATAAAACAATGATGTTGATAAAGATGGTATTATAATTAGTCCTTATTCATTACTTACAATTAATACCGTAACATTATAACCTTGGACTGGTGTAAACAAGAACAAGACAGTGTTAAGCCAAAAGTCGTCGACTGCAAACAGAAGGTGATTTAATTAAGCCAGATTTCTGTATGAACCTGACAAATGGCAAGCCAGGTATCGTAAATTATAAGCCAGGCATTGATAAGTCAGATGTGGAGAGCGAAGGTAGTGGGTTTACCTTGGTGGGAGACGCAGGAGATGTTGATGGTTTGTCCTGGGTAGTAGGGGCCTAGCACCCCCCAGTTGCCGCGCCCCACAGACCCGTTCCCACGACCAGAAGACCCGCTCCCACGACCTACGGACCAAGCGCCCAAGATCTCCACTCTTCTCACCGGCTCTGCGAACATACGGACCAAGTTACCATGCATCTCCATGTGGCTCGTTGAACGCGTGCCACAGTTTCTGTGTCAATGTAATTAACGGGTGTGTCAAGTGTTACGGGGTTTTGTCACAATGTAATATTACAGGTGGTAACAAGCACTTCGGAGAGACAGGACCTGGCCTGAGTACCTCCGCTAACATACACTTATCATAGCTTCAAAGCCACCTGTCCTCTTAAAAAGAACGTCGCTTTTGGCCGTTTGCCCGTATGGCCGAATTTGGACGTAATTTGAAAATGAAAAAAATTGAAAATAAATTTGGGAATTTTTTTTCAACAACAGTAAGTTAAGGGTCCTCTGATAGGTTAGGTGGGCAGGAAATTCTCATAAAGTTTCAAAACGTTATGAAAAACGTTAATTTAAAGTGTCCTCTCATAACCTCTGCGCGTACGCCGGACGACTCAAACAGAAAACGGAACAGAACGTCACTTGTGAGTCGATTTCATTTCAAATCACGTCTCTAAATTGGTCTCCTGTACTTCAAAACTACAGCATTCATACAGTGAAACATACAGCGTTGTAGCAAAACATACAGCTTCACATATCTTGTTTGATTTTATATCGTCATATGTTTTATTTTAATTTTTACTTTATTGATTTATTCGTTAATTAGTGGTATTAGAGTATGATAATATTTATCCCATAGACCGTGACATAATTTCCCGAACACAATTCCTCAGGAAATTAAAAAAATATATATTCTTGAGAATTTATAGACAAAATATATATTTCACCAAAAATAGTTAAAAAAAATTATGTCATATTTACGCGGCAGTGAGCTTAAAATTGGGGGTTTTGTTCTTTATTAAATAATACACAATATAAAGATCATATTTACATCAATTTTCAAGGGAAAATATTACATTTATATATATTTTATATAATTCTCAGTATGCCAACTTTCCATATCATCACAGAGCATGAGCAGTAAACCCCAAATGTTATACTTGATCCTATCTCACAAGAACTTCAATATTTTGTCTACTGAGTAACCCTCCTGCCTGCCTATCCACACACAGTAATCCTCCTGCCTGCCTATCCACACACAGTAACCCTCCTGCCTGCCTGTCCTCACACAGTAATCCTCCTGCCTGCCTATCCCCACACAGTAACCCTCCTGCCTGCCTATCCACACACAGTAACCCTCCTGCCTGCCTATCCCCACACAGTAACCCTCCTGCCTGCCTATCCCCACACAGTAACCCTCCTGCCTGCCTATCCTCACACAGTAACCCTCCTGCCTGCCTATCCTCACACAGTAACCCTCCTGCCTGCCTATCCACACACAGTAACCCTCCTGCCTGCCTATCCTCACACAGTAACCCTCCTGCCTGCCTATCCCCACACAGTAACCCTCCTGCCTGCCTATCCCCACACAGTAACCCTCCTGCCTGCCTATCCTCACACAGTAATCCTCCTGCCTGCCTATCACCACACAGTAACCCTCCTGCCTGCCTATCCACACACAGTAACCCTCCTGCCTGCCTATCCACACACAGTAACCCTCCTGCCTGCCTATCCACACACAGTAACCCTCCTGCCTGCCTATCCACACACAGTAACCCTCCTGCCTGCCTATCCACACACAGTAACCCTCCTGCCTGTCTATCCACACACAGTAACCCTCCTGCCTGCCTATCCTCACACAGTAACCCTCCTGCCTGCCTATCCACACACAGTAACCCTCCTGCCTGCCTATCCACACACAGTAACCCTCCTGCCTGCCTATCCTCACACAGTAACCCTCCTGCCTGCCTATCCACACACAGTAACCCTCCTGCCTGCCTATCCACACACAGTAACCCTCCTGCCTGCCTATCCACACACAGTAACCCTCCTGCCTGCCTATCCTCACACAGTAACCCTCCTGCCTGCCTATCCCCACACAGTAACCCTCCTGCCTGCCTATCCACACACAGTAACCCTCCTGCCTGCCTATCCCCACACAGTAACCCTCCTGCCTGCCTATCCCCACACAGTAACCCTCCTGCCTGCCTATCCCCACACAGTAACCCTCCTGCCTGCCTATCCTCACACAGTAACCCTCCTGCCTGCCTATCCACACACAGTAACCCTCCTGCCTGCCTATCCCCACACAGTAACCCTCCTGCCTGCCTATCCACACACAGTAACCCTCCTGCCTGCCTATCCACACACAGTAACCCTCCTGCCTGCCTATCCACACACAGTAACCCTCCTGCCTGCCTATCCACACACAGTAACCCTCCTGCCTGCCTATCCCCACACAGTAACCCTCCTGCCTGCCTATCCCCACACAGTAACCCTCCTGCCTGCCTATCCCCACACAGTAACCCTCCTGCCTGCCTATCCCCACACAGTAACCCTCCTGCCTGCCTATCCTCACACAGTAACCCTCCTGCCTGCCTATCCACACACAGTAACCCTCCTGCCTGCCTATCCCCACACAGTAACCCTCCTGCCTGCCTATCCCCACACAGTAACCCTCCTGCCTGCCTATCCACACACAGTAACCCTCCTGCCTGCCTATCCCCACACAGTAACCCTCCTGCCTGCCTATCCCCACACAGTAACCCTCCTGCCTGCCTATCCCCACACAGTAACCCTCCTGCCTGCCTATCCCCACACAGTAACCCTCCTGCCTGCCTATCCCCACACAGTAACCCTCCTGCCTGCCTATCCCCACACAGTAACCCTCCTGCCTGCCTATCCTCACACAGTAACCCTCCTGCCTGCCTATCCCCACACAGTAACCCTCCTGCCTGCCTATCCCCACACAGTAACCCTCCTGCCTGCCTATCCCCACACAGTAACCCTCCTGCCTGCCTATCCCCACACAGTAACCCTCCTGCCTGCCTATCCCCACACAGTAACCCTCCTGCCTGCCTATCCCCACACAGTAACCCTCCTGCCTGCCTATCCCCACACAGTAACCCTCCTGCCTGCCTATCCCCACACAGTAACCCTCCTGCCTGCCTATCCCCACACAGTAACCCTCCTGCCTGCCTATCCCCACACAGTAACCCTCCTGCCTGCCTATCCCCACACAGTAACCCTCCTGCCTGCCTATCCACACACAGTAACCCTCCTGCCTGCCTATCCTCACACAGTAACCCTCCTGCCTGCCTATCCACACACAAAAAATGTAATCAGAAAGTAGCATAATTATTGTATTCTTAGTTTTCTTGCATTTTAGGTCAATATGAAACATTGAAAACGTCATTAACTCCACTCTAATACTTGGTCCACATAAAGCTTTAAGAGTGTCTCTAATCCAGTTTACAAGAACAACTTTCTGCTTACATAAATAAAATGTATGGATATTATTCTCAATTTCAGAACATTGGTGACAGGTATTGTTGTCCTTAATGCCCAACATCAACAACCTATCATTAACATGGAGGGTCTCATGAATATAGCGATACAACAGCTCACGTTGTTTTTGGGGCAATCAATTTAACATGAAGGTTCGCCCATATTACTGGCCAGTTAAAGAGTGGATATGCCGCCTCTACTCTAGGAACTATATGTTGGAGCTGAAATGGGAATTAACCGTTTTTGGGTGTAGGGAGATTGAAACACGGAAGTGCAGGGGGAACAGGAATGAGGAGCGATAACTGGGAATATGGATGGAAGGAATAGGAGGGTAAGGGAAATGTGTCAAGGAAGGAGTGGGAATATGGACACGATTGAACTGAATGAATGAAGAATGATCATAAATGAAATAATAGCTTTATATGGTAAATCAGCACAAGACATTAACTGAGTGTATCACTGAGCATCAAGCGCCTCTTGCATCGTTCACTCACTGCTCAGTGTACAACCACGTTACAGTCAGTTCTCATACAAGGAAACACTCACTGCTCAGTGCACAACCACGTTACAGTCAGTTCTCATACAAGGAAACACTCACTGCTCAGTGCACAACCACGTTACAGTCAGTTCTCATACAAGGAAACACTCACTGCTCAGTGCACAACCACGTTACAGTCAGTTCTCATACAAGGAAACACTCACTGCTCAGTGCACAACCACGTTACAGTCAGTTCTCATACAAGGAAACACTCACTGCTCAGTGCACAACCACGTTACAGTCACTTCTCATACAAGGAAACACTCACTGCTCAGTGCACAACCACGTTACAGTCACTTCTCATACAAGGAAACATAACAAGCCAAAGTAAACTATGAACCGTAAAGTAAACAATGGACTTGAGAATGGTCCAGGACGGACCGAAACGTCGTCGTCCCTTCACCTTCTAGTGTGTGGTCTGGTCAACACACTTCAGCCACGGTATTGTGACTCGTCGCCTGCATATGAAGTGTGTATAGCCGGGACAGGCAGCCACAACTCCTAAAGGCACTTTCATATATACCAAACAAAGTTGACGGAGAGGACTTAGTCAATGAAAATTAAGACAGGTCAGATAACTGATAAATGACCAAGAAATGGGTGCTACTTTAAAAATAGCGACCTAGCTTCATGCAGGTCGGCGTTCAATCCCCGACCGTCCAAGTGGTTGGGCACCATTCCTTCCCCTCGTCCCATCCCACCCAAATCCTTATCCTGACCCCTTCCCAATGCTAGTCATAATGGCTTAGTGCTTTCTCCTGATAATTCAATTTAAAAAAATTCTGTATTTACTAGAGAAGAACTTTATATTATGCCAGCAGCTGAACAAAGGAAATTGATATTGGTGGTGAAGGGGACAAGTTGACTAGTTGCGTGGTTACTAGAGAGGGGGGTTATCTTGAGGTTATCTTGAGGTTATCTTGAGATGATTTCGGGGTTTTTAGTGTCCCCGCGGGCTGGTCCTCGACCAGGCCTCCACCCCCAGGAAGCAGCCCGTGACAGCTGACTAACACCCAGGTACCTATTTTACTGCTAGGTAACAGGAGCATAGGGTGGAAGAAACTCTACCCATTCTTTCTCGCCGGCGCCTGGGATCGAACCCAGGACCACAGGATCACAAGTCCAGCGTGCTGTCCACTCGGCAGCCCGGCTCCCCGGGGGGGGGAGGAAGTTATTAAACAAACAAATAGAACAATTCGAGGCAAACAAGTCCCCAGAGTCAAACGAAGTGTTTGCCAGGGGTACTTAAAGGGTGTAGAGAGCTTTATGAGCCCTTGTCTTGCATAGTTAGTCAATGATGAGAGTACAGCAGAGTAGCGGAGACTTCAAGGGCGGCACCGGTTTTGAAAACAAGATATACATCACTACATCGAATTATGGAACAATTTGCTTAACGCCTGGTTAACCTAATTGCATGGTACCAGTTTTTAAGATGGGAGACAGATCACTTACATCAAACTATCGTCCAATTAGATTAACGTTTGTTCAAGAAAAAATGAATAGATAATCGCAAAAGCAATTCGTTTACATTTTAAGAAGCGTAAATTATTAGGATTCACAACATGGGTTCACTAAGGTCATCTTATGTTAAACAAATTTACTTTCATTCTATTCCAGTTGATAGAGGAAATGATTGCGACATTCCACGTCCTGACTAAACCAATGCCTTTCATGATGAGTCTCAAAAGACTCCTTACAAGAGACTCCTTACAAAATTAGAGACCTATGGTATTGGAGGAAGAGGGGATTTCTAAACTGGATAAGGGCTTGGTCGTTTCAAAGAAAAGTTATAATAAGATTAGAAAGGGAGAGAAATATCAGGGAAAAAGCGCCAAGCCGTTACGACTATAGCGCACATGAAAAGGGTCAGGATAAGGATTTGGGATGGGACGGGGGAAAGGAATGGTGCCCAAGCACTTGGACGGAGACTGAACGCCGACCTGCATAAAGGAAGTCCGGGGCGGGCCGAAGCGTCGTCGTCTCGTCATCTTCTGGTGTGTGGTTTGGTCACCATATCTTCAGCCCCGTTATTGTGACTCATCGTCTGCATATTGCACATACAATAGGCAGTCCGTTCAGTTCAGTTAGAGTTCAAATAGATTAGAGTTAATTCTGGATGGGAAACCGTTGCAAGTGGAGTGCCTCGAGGCTGCGTCCTGGAACCTCTCTTGTTTTCAACATATACAGTATATAAATGATTTAGGCACAGGACTGAGCAGCAATATTTGCAAAATTGCAGACGAATTACAAAGAGAATGGAAAAATAAATTTAGATGAGTTAAATTATGACTTACCCACGACGGTGAGGTTGACCACTTACCCACGACGGTGAGGTTGACAACTAACCCACGACGGTGAGGATGACCACTTACCCACGACGGTGAGATTGACCACTTACCCACGACGGTGAGCATGACCACTTACCCACGACGGTGAGGTTGACG